AAATTAACATTTCATGTGGTAAAATTTTTTTTTTTCATACTTTTGGGTGTCTTGCACGGATTAATTTTATTTCCATTATTTCTTATGGGGAAAATTCATTCACATACCGAACATTTCGCATAACAGCCAGCCCTCTTGCACGGATTAAGGTCGCTATGCGGGGGTCCACTGTACTCCATTCTACTGAATGCTCAGCAACTCAGTAAATGAACATATGAACTGTCTTTGAAATACTCATTTGTGCTTAATTGTTATTTGTTTACAATAATGTTTACCACTGAATATATCACTGCTTAGTTAATCTTAAGTTAATTTTAAGCCTGACAATAATGCTCTGCATACAAGGGACTTTTGGAATGTTACACTTAACCACTGTATTTCTTTTTACCTTATTGTATCATGTCCAAATTAATAATAAATAAATAGTACAGGGTGATGGTGGAGATAGTAAATAGTACAGGGTGATGGTGGAGATAGTAGATAGTACAGGGTGATGGTGGAGATAGTAGATAGTACAGGTGATGGTGGAGATAGTAATAGTACAGGGTGATGGTGGAGATAGTAGATAGTACAGGGTGATGGTGGAGATAGTAGATAGTACAGGGTGATGGTGGAGATAGTAGATAGTACTGGGTGATGGTGGAGATAGTAGATAGTACAGGGTGATGATGGAGATAGTAGATAGTACAGGGTGATGGTGGAGATAGTAGATAGTACAGGGTGATGGTGGAGATAGTAGATAGTACAGGGTGATGGAGGAGACAGATACATGATTATATACACCTGGAAAATCCTAGAGGGACTAGTACCGAACTTGCACACGAAAATCACTCACAACGAAAGCAAAAGACTTGGCAGACGATGCAACATCCCCCAATGAAAAGCAGGGGTGTCACTAGCACGTTAAGAGACCATACAATAAGTGTCAGGGGCCCGAGACTGTTCAACTGCCTCCCAGCATACATACCAATAGACCCCTGGCAGTCTTCAAGCTGGCACTGGACAAGCACCTAAAGTCGGTACCTGACCAGCCGGGCTGTGGCTCGTACGTTGGATTGCGTGCAGCTAGCAGTAACAGCCTGGTTGATCAGGCTCTGATCCACCAGGAGGCCTGGTCACAGACCGGGCCGCAGGGGCGTTGACCCCCGGAACTCTCTCCAGGTAAACTCCAGGTAGTACAAGGTGATGGTGGAGATAGTCGAGGGTGATGGTGGGGACAGTAGATGGTGGAGATAGTCGAGGGTGATGGTGGGGACAGTAGATGGTGGAGATAGTCGAGGGTGATGGTGGGGACAGTAGAAGGTGGAGATAGTAGATGGTGGAGATAGCATACTATCAAGACAGCCACCCACATCCTGGCTCACTGCTTCATTATCATTACTACTATTATTACTATTAATAGTATTACTGCAGTGTGGTAAATAAGTTGGTAGAGAAAACTTGACATAAGAGATAAAGTGTTTTTCACAGTGTTATGGATATTTATTGTTAACTAGTTAGTAACAGTTACAGCTCCTGGCCCAGAAATAATATAATAACTGACCTCCATCATGCTGGTTTTCAAGTTAAAATGTTTTGTTGTTAATGATAAGAAAAAACAAAAAAAAATAACCAAACCTAGCAAACCCACCTAAGCTAAAATAACTTGATGACCATAACACAAGGCACAGATCACTCTTTGATGTTCCTCGTGTCCATCTCACACTATGCAAAAACTCAATGCACATAAAAGGCCCTAAAATCTGGAATTCATTACCTGTAAATATAAAAGAAACACAACCTGTTTATAAATTCAAGTCTCTTCTCAAAGATTACTTACTCACCCAAAACCAAATAAATACTGAATAACTGAACATTATAAATTTTATATCTTAAATGTTTCTCACAATTATATCACATAAATGTTAAACCTAAAACCCAATCTAACTTTATTATTTTTTAAATACACTACCTAACAGAATCACTACCTAACTGAATGCAACCATATGACCTGTCTTTGTAATACTCACTTGTGCTTTATAGTTATCTGTTTACATTAATGTTTTATCACTGATTTCATCATTGCTTAGTAGCAGCGCTGTATAGTCCTTGTGGCTTAGTGCTTCTTCTTGATTATAATAATAATAATAATCATTGCTTAGTTAATCTTAAGTTAATTTTAAGCCAGCCCGTAATGCTATGCATAGTATAAGTGGCTTTGGCATACTGCTCTTATCTGTATTTTTTTTGTACCTCTGTATGTGTGCACAAATTGGAAATAAATAAATAAATAAAATAAATAAATAAATAAATACATTACTAAGTTAGTGGTAGGTAATTTATGCATTACTAAGTTATAGTGGTAGGTAATTTATACATTACTAAGTTATAGTGGTAGGTAATTTATACATTACTAAGTTATAGTGGTAGGTAATTTATACATTATTAAGTTAGTGGTAGGTAATTTATACATTACTAAGTTAGTGGTAGGTAATTTATACATTACTAAGTTATAGTGGTAGGTAATTTATACATTACTAAGTTATAGTGGTAGGTAATTTATACATTACTAAGTTATGATAATTGTAGCTGTAAATAAACTTACAACAGTCTAGTGTTGACTGACACTGTGCTGACTCTGACACGACTGACACTGACCTGCTACTGACACTGTGCTGACACTGACACGACTGACACTGACCTGCTACTGACACTGTGCTGACACTGACCCGACTGACACTGACCTGCTACTGACACTGTGCTGACACTGACACGACTGACACTGACACGACTGACACTGACACGACTGACACTGACACGACTGACACTGACACGACTGACATTGACCTGCCACTGACACGACTGACACTGACCTGCCACTGACACGACTGCCACTGACACGACTGCCACTGGCACGACTGACATTGACCTGCCACTGACACGACTGACACTGACCTGACACTGACACTGCGCTGCCGCTGACCTGCCACTGACACGACTGCCACTGACCTGCCACTGACACGACTGACACTGACCTGCCACTGTCACTGACCTGCCACTGACATGACTGCCACTGACCTGCCACTGACACGACTGCCACTGACACTGTGCTGCCGCTGACCTGCCACTGACACGACTGACATTGACCTGCCACTGACACGACTGACACTGACCTGACACTGACACTGACCTGCCACTGACCTGCCACTGACACGACTGCCACTGACACGACTGACATTGACCTGCCACTGACACGACTGACACTGACCTGACACTGACACTGACCTGCCGCTGACCTGCCACTGACATGACTGACACTGACCTGCCACTGACACGACTGACACTGACTTGCCACTGCCACTGACCTGCCACTGACATGACTGACACTGACCTGCCACTGACCTGCCACTGACCTGCCACTGACACTGACCTGCCACTGACCTGCCACTGACACGACTGCCACTGACCTGCCACTGACACGACTGCCACTGATCTGCCACTGACCTGCCACTGACACGACTGCCACTGACCTGCCACTGACCTGCCACTGACACAACTGCCACTGACGTTACTATAATAATTTGTCACTACTAAACATAATAATTCATTTACTAATCACTGAGTTATTTTCAATATTTAACATATTATTTAACAAATTATTTTCACTTATAAATGAAGCAGTTTCACTGATCAATGAACATTTATCATTAACATCTTCCACAATAATAATTTACCAACAAATTCAGGGTCAGCAGGTGTAAGGTGACTAACACCCAGGTACCTACTTACCACTAGGTGAACAAGGATAACAGGTGTAAGGTGACTAACACCCAGGTACCTACTTACTACTAGGTGAACAAGGATAACAGGTGTAAGGTGACTAACACCCAGGTACCTACTTACCACTAGGTGAACAAGGATAACAGGTGTAAGGTGACTAACACCCAGGTACCTGCTTACTACTAGGTGAACAAGGATAACAGGTGTAAGGTGACTAACACCCAGTACCTACTTACCACTAGGTGAACAAGGATAACAGGTGTAAGGTGACTAACACCCAGGTACCTACTTACCACTAGGTGAACAAGGATAACAGGTGTAAGGTGACTAACACCCAGGTACCTACTTACTACTAGGTGAACAAGGATAACAGGTGTAAGGTGACTAACACCCAGGTACCTACTTACTACTAGGTGAACAAGGATAACAGGTGTAAGGTGACTAACACCCAGGTACCCACTTACTACTAGGTGAACAAGGATAACAGGTGTAAGGTGACTAACACCCAGGTACCTGCTTACTACTAGGTGAACAAGGATAACAGGTGTAAGGTGACTAACACCCAGGTACCTACTTACTACTAGGTGAACAAGGACAACAGGTGTACAGTGACTAACACCCAGGTACCTGCTTACTACTAGGTGAACAAGGACAACAGGTGTAAGGTGACTAACACCCAGGTACCTACTTATTACTAGGTGAACAAGGACAACAGGTGTACAGTGACTAACACCCAGGTACCTGCTTACTACTAGGTGAACAAGGACAACAGGTGTAAGGTGACTAACACCCAGGTACCTACTTACTACTAGGTGAACAAGGATAACAGGTGTAAGGTGACTAACACCCAGGTACCTGCTTACTACTAGGTGAACAAGGATAACAGGTGTAAGGTGACTAACACCCAGGTACCTACTTACCACTAGGTGAACAAGGATAACAGGTGTAAGGTGACTAACACCCAGGTACCTGCTTACTACTAGGTGAACAAGGATAACAGGTGTACGGTGACTAACACCCAGGTACCTACTTACTACTAGGTGAACAAGGACAACAGGTGTAAGGTGACAAACACCCAGGTACCTACTTACCACTAGGTGAACAAGGCAGCAGGTGTAAGGTAAAAGGCCCAGTGTTTGTACCCGTGCCGGGTACTGAACCATGGACAGTGTGTGTGGCGAGTCTTACCTACCAGGCCACGGGCCACCTACGTCATAACTGAGCCAGATATATTGGCTTACCTTGTGTAACACTAGTGTCAGGACGTGCTGCTGACACTGTAGGTGTTACAGTGGACACTGCAGATGTTACAGTGGACACTGCTGGTGTTACAGTGGACACTGCAGATGTTACAGTGGACACTGCAGGTGTTACAGTGGACACTGCAGGTGTTACAGTGGACACTGCAGGTGTTACAGTGGACACTGCTGGTGTTACAGTGGACACTGTAGGTGTTAGTGGACACTGCTGGTGTTACAGTGGACACTGCAGGTGTTACAGTGGACACTGCTGGTGTTACAGTGGACACTGTAGGTGTTAGTGGACACTGCTGGTGTTACAGTGGACACTGCAGGTGTTACAGTGGACACTGCAGGTTTAACACTAGTGGCGGCGGTGGTGGTGGGTTATAAGGGCTCATCTTACACCTCTTCTCCCACTTTATCTTCCTAAATATAAATATTCAATTGGGAAAATGTAAGCTAAATTGTAATTTTTGGCTCAATTATATGTTAACAGATAAAATGTAATAGTACACTTTATTGTTCAGCTGGACCATTTATGTACTCTGTAGTTGAGACATCCTGACCATTATGTCCTCTGTAATGTTGAGGTAAGTCCTGGACCCATTATGTGCTCTGTAATGTGAGTACAGTCCTGGACCCATTATGTGCCTCTGTAATGTTGAGGTACAGTCCCTGGACCTATTATGTGCCTCTGTAGTGTTGAGGTACAGTCCCTGGACCCATTATGTGCCTCTGTAATGTTGAGGTACAGTCCCTGGACCCATTATGTGCCTCTGTAATGTTGAGGTACAGTCCCTGGACCCATTATGTGCCTCTGTAATGTTGAGGTACAGTCCCTGGACCTATTATGTACCTCTGTAGTGTTGAGGTACAGTCCCTGGACCTATTATGTGCCTCTGTAGTGTTGAGGTACAGTCCCTGGACCCATTATGTGCCTCTGTAATGTTGAGGTACATTCCCTGAACCCATTATGTACTCACCTAATTGTGGTTGCAGGGGTCAATTCATAACTCCTGGCCCCGCCTCTTCATTGGACACTACTAGGTTCATTCTCTACCTGCTCCATGGGCTTTATCATACCTCTTCTTAAAACTATGTATAGATCCTGCCTCCACTACGTCACTCTCTAGATTGTTCCACTTCCTGGAAGCTCTGTCCCTGAAGAAATACTTCCTACCGTCCCTGTGACTCATCTAAGTTTCAGCTTCCGGATGTGATGTGACCCCTTGTTGTTGTGTCACATCTACATAACATTTTGTCCCTATCCACCCTGTCAAATCCTCTGGGTACTTTGTATGTTATCATGTCCCCCTATCCCACCTGTCTTCCAGTGTTGTCAGGTTGAGTTCCCTAACCACTCTTCGTAGGGATAAGTTTATTTAGGTATACACAAATATAGTTACATAAATTATCAGACATTGATGACATCACATATGAGAGGCCCCTCGGAGCTACTGACCACGTAGTCCTGAGTTTTGAATACATAGCAGAGTTATAGGTGGAGAGGGTAACAGGAGTCGAATGGGAAAAGCCAAACTATGAAAGGGGGGACTACACAGGTGTGAGGAACTTCCTGCTGGAGGTGCAGTTTGACAGAGAAATGGTAGGAAAGAAAGTAAATGAAATGATGGAGTATGTAACAACAAAATGCAAGGAGGCAGAGGAAAGGTTTGTTCCCAAGGGCAACAGAAACAACGGGATGACCAAAGCGAGTCCTTGGTTTACCCAAAGGTGCAGGGAGGCAAAAACTAAGTATGCTAGAGAATGGAAGAGGTATAGAAGGCAAAGGACCCAGGAAAACAAGGAGAGCAGTCGAAGAGCCAGAAACGAATATGCACAGATAAGGAGGGAGGCCCAGCGGCAGTACGAAAATGACATAGCATCGAAAACCAAGTCTGACCCGAAACTGCTGTTTAGCCACATTAGGAGAAAGACGAGGGTCAAACACCAGGTGATCAGGCTGAGGAAAGAAGGTGGGGAACTCACAAGAAACGATCAAGAGGTATGCGAGGAGCTCAACAGGAGATTTAAGGAAGTATTCACAGTGGAGACAGGAAGGACTCTGGGAAGACAGGACAGAGGGGGACACCAACAGGGAAAAGACCAACAGGTGCTGGATGATATGCACACAACTGAGGAGGTGAAGCAGCTGATAAAGCGACCTTGATACCTCAAAGGCAATGGGACCAGACAACATCTCCCCGTGGGTCCTCAGGGAGGGAGCAGATATACTGTGTGTGCCATTAACCATAATTTTTATTTTATTTTATTTTATTTATTTTATGTCTTTGCAAACTGGGCAACTACCTGAGGTATGGAAGACCGCAAATGTAGTTCCCATTTTTAAAAAAGGAGACAGAAAAGAGGCACTAAATTACAGACCAGTGTCACTGACGTGTATAGTATGCAAAGTCATGGAGAAGATTATCAGGAGGAGAGTGGTGGAGCACCTGGAACGGAACAAGATTATAAAAGATAACCAGCACGGATTCATGGAAGGCAAATCCTGTGTCACAAACCTTCTGGAGTTCTATGACAAAGTTACGGAAGTACGACACGAGAGAGAGGGGTAGGTTGATTGCATTTTCTTGGACTGCAAGAAGGCTTTCGACACAGTTCCTCACAAGAGACTAGTGCAGAAACTAGAGGATCAGGTGCATATAACAGGAAGGGCACTGCAGTGGATCAGAGAATATCTGACAGGGAGGCAACAACGAGTCATGGCACGGGATCAGGTATCACAGTGGGCACCTGTGACGAGCGGGGTCCCACTGGGGTCGGTCCTAGGACCAGTGCTATTTCTGGTATATGTGAATGACATGATGGAAGGGATAGACTCACGCACAGTACTCACTCCCATCTTGTTCCTCATCCTCATACCTGACATAGACAAGGATGTCAGCCACAGCACCGTGTCTTCCTTTGCAGATGACACCCGAATCTGCATGACAGTGTCTTCCATTGCAGACACTGCAAGGCTCCAGGCGGACATCAACCAAATCTTTCAGTGGGCTGCAGAAAACAATATGAAGTTCAACGATGAGAAATTTCAATTACTCAGATATGGTAAACACGAGGAAATTAAATCTTCATAAGAGTACAAAACAAATTCTGGCCACAGAATAGAGCGAAACACCAACGTCAAAGACCTGGAGTGATCATGTCGGAGGATCTCACCTTCAAGGACCATAACATTGTATCAATTGCATCTGCTAGAAAAATGACAGGATGGATAATGAGAACCTTCAAACTAGGGATGCCAAGCCCATGATGACACTCTTCAGGTCACTTGTTCTATCTAGGCTGGGATATTGCTGCACACTAACAGCACCTTTCAAGGCAGGTGAATTGCTGACCTAGAAAATGTACAGAGAACCTTCACGGCGCACATAATGGAGATAAAACACCTCAATTACTGGAGCGCTTGAGGTTCCTGAACCTGTATTCCCTGGAATGCAGGCAGGAGAGATACATGATTATATACACCTGGAAAATCCTAGAGGGACTAGTACGAACTTGCACACGAAAATCACTCACTACGAAAGCAAAAGACTTGGCAGACGATGCAACATCCCCCCAATGAAAAGCAGGGGTGTCACTAGCACGTTAAGAGGTCATACAATAAGTGTCAGGGGCCCGAGACTGTTCAACTGCCTCCCAGCATACATAAGGGGGATTACAACAGACCCTGGCAGTCTTCAAGCTGGCACTGGACAAGCACCTAAAGTCGGTTCCTGAACAGCCAGGCTGTGGCTCGTACGTTAGTTTGCGTGCAGCCAGCAGTAACAGCCTGGTTGATCAGGCTCTGATCCACCAGGAGGCCTGGTCACAGACCGGGCCGCGGGCGCGTTGACCCCCGGAACTCTCTCCAGGTAAACTCCAGGTAGAGGTGTCCCTGTTCGCAGATGATGTGAAGTTAATGAGGAGAATTAAATCAGATGAGGCCCAGGCAGGACTTCCAAGAGACCTGTACAGGATGGATATGTGGTCCAGCAACTGGCTTCTTGAATTGAACCCTGCAAAATGCAAAGTTATGAAGATCGGAGAAGGGCAAAGAAGACCGCAGACAGAGTATAGACTAGGTGGCCAAGAACTGCCAACCTCGCTCAAGGAGAAAGATCTTGGGGTGACCATAACACCGAGCATGTCTCTGGAGGCACACATCAACCAGATAACTGCTGCAGCATACGGGCACCTGGCAAACCTGAGAATAGCGTTCCGATACCTCAGTATGGAATCGTTCAAGACACTGTACACGGTGTACATCAGGCCCATACTGGAGTATGCAGCACCAATTTAGAACCCATACCTGGCCAAACACATCAAGAAATTAGAGAAAGTGCAAAGGTTTGCAACAAGTCTAGTTCCAAAGCTCAGGGGTATGTCCTACAAAGAAAGATTGAGGGAAATCGGACTGAGGACATTGGAGGACAGGTGGGTCAGGGGAGACATGATAACGACATACAAAATACTGCGTGGAATAGATAAGGTAGACAGAGACAGGCTGTTCCAGAGAGGGGACACAGAAACAAGAGGTCACAATTGGAAGCTGAAGACTCAGACGAGTCAGAGGGATGTTAGGAAGTGGAATAGCGAAGCAAGTGAGGTAGTGGAGCCAGGAACCATGCATATCTGGAGTTTACCTGGAGAGAGTTCCGGGGGTCAACGCCCCCGCGGCCCGGTCTGTGACCAGGCCTCCTGGTGGATCAGAGCCTGATCAACCAGGCTGTTACTGCTGGCTGCACGCAAACCAACGTACGAGCCACAGCCCAGCTGGTCAGGAACCGACTTTAGGTGCTTGTCCAGTGCCAGCTTGAAGACTGCCAGGGGTCTGTTGGTAATCCCCCTTATGTATGCTGGGAGGCAGTTGAACAGTCTCGGGCCCCTGACACTTATTGTATGGTCTCTTAACGTGCTAGTGACACCCCTGCTTTTTATTGGGGGGATGTTGCATCGTCTGCCAAGTCTTTTGCTTTTGTAGTGAGAGATTTTCGTGTGCAAGTTCGGTACTAGTCCCTCTAGGATTTTCCAGGTGTATATAATCATGTATCTCTCCCACCTGCGTTCCAGGGAATACAGGTTTAGGAACCTCAAGCGCTCCCAGTAATTGAGGTGTTTTATCTCCGTTATGTGCGCCGTGAAAGTTCTCTGTACATTTTCTAGGTCAGCAATTTCACCTGCCTTGGAAGGTGCTGATAGTGTGCAGCAATATTCCAGCCTAGATAGAACAAGTGACCTGAAGAGTGTCATCATGGGCTTGGCCTTCCTAGTTTTGAAGGTTCTCATTATCCATCCTGTCATTTTTCTAGCAGATGCGATTGATACAATGTTATGGTCCTTGATGGTGAGATCCTCC